TGGAGGAAGTTTGATCGATCGAACCTTGGACTTGGATCGATCGAACATGGTTGAGATCTATCGAACATAGGCTGGATCGATCCTCAATGGCGGCACCTTTTTGGATAAAAATAAATCTGAGATATTTTGAAGATATTTTTAGAAAAAAGACAAAAGTGGTTGGTAGGGTGGTACAACTGGATAAGATCAATTATTTGGATAGGGACAAAAATGTTCGATCGATCATAGAAGGAAGTTGGATCGATGGAACTTTTGAGATCTTTGTGCAAGGGCAAACATGGCTTAGATCTATCTTGAAGTGCTGAGATCGATAAAAGGTGGATCGATCGAACTTTTCTTAAGATCGATCGAAGTTACTGAAATTCCACCCTTTGCTTCATTTTGCTCTACTTTGCTCATTTGTTTGATTCATCCCAGAATTGCTTCAATTATGCTCTTATTTGGCTGAGTTAGCTTGTTTTAGGGATAAGTACCTAAAAATGGAAATAACATGAAATCAATACAAAACGGTAAAATAAGATAGATAAAGGTTCTAGAATACCTAAACTTAAGGGGTTTAAATATGCACTTTTCAGCGCTCATCATTTGTTCATTTTGAAATTTAGGGGTTTTTTTTGCTCATTAGGGTATAGTTTAGGGGGCTTTAATGCACTTTACCCTAATAATAATAATATAATATAATATAATAAAAAGGAAACTGGGATAGAAATGAAGCCACTATTAGTTTTGAGGTGCACTAGTTCTTTGCAGGTGCAAAAATTCGTTTAACTCTAAAAAGCTAAACGAATAAATACAACTCACTCAAATAAAAAAATAATTAATAACAAGAACAGTTCTGAGAAAAACTTGTAATGTTCTATTGGAGGTCTATACCTTTATTTATATACAATTTGAGGTGGAATTATAGTAGGATTCGCTATACTTGTCCTGCACGTTTCTTCCATATAAAATTCATTCCATATACAATTTCTTACATAGAAGGTTCTTTCCTTCTATAATTCTTTTCATGTAGAACTTTTCCATACAGAGTTTCTTTTTATATAGGATTCTTTACCATGTAGGAACTGATCAATCCGGACTATTTTTGGATCATAACACGAGTGGGCCGAATAGGTCCTGTAACCATCCGAGAAGCTGTCACTAACACTTCTGGGCCGATGATGGCTTTGTTGGGCTTGATCAAATTTGGGCTCTGGAGGGCTAGTAGACCGAAATAGAGAGATGGTGATTTATTTAATAACGTGACTGATTTTTATTGGTGGGGGATTTTTCCCTTTTGCCTCCCAATTATGGACAAAACAGACTAAAAGAAAGGGCTTTAATCAGCAAGTGTTTCAAACAAAAAGAAAACTTAACTATACTCTTAAGGGAAATTATTCTGGTGAAAACCCCATCCGGGTGTATGTAAACCTTCCCTCTAAATAGACAATCTTTCTCTGGATAGTATTCTATATTCTCTTCGGTTATCAACAGCAGGCACTCTCATGTTTGGCAGTTATACTCGACCTTGTAAATAGAACATAGAGGGAGACAGCATATTTTTTACACCAAGCAAAGGTCCGACTTAAGTTTTTGTATAGATTACTTACTGTAAAGTTTATTATGGACAGACAAGTCCTGGGCATGCATATATATTGCAATTGTAAATAAAGAGTCGAGGATAGCCAAGTCAATGTTCAACAATGATTATAGATAAATCAAATTAAGAACCATAAAAATGCACTGATTAGATAACAAAGTACAGGAGTAAAAAGTAAAAGCATACTATAAGTTCATAGGACTGGCAACTAGAAGGCTAAAAATGTCCCAATTAGATTGTAATGCATGGATTTATGTAGTGGTAAATAAAAAAATTAATTGAACAAAACCTTATATGGACTACTGCTACTACTGGCAACCACACAAATCGTCTTTTGACATTTTGAAATGCTAAAGGCCAATAACTGACAGTTCTACTTTTAAATGAGAGGCCGCCATATATGTCCTCACAGGTTGACTGGATCTACGCTCTTAATTGGCATTTTCTACTGCTTCTAACACGGACAAAAACAAACATGCTGGTGCCACCATTAATCCTAGACTCTAAGCCATTCTCTTATGAATTTTCTCTTATGTTTTCTCAACTGGAGCTATGCCAAAAATTGGGATTTTAAATTCCTTAATATAATTTGACTTCCAAATGGCGAAATTTCAACTCTGGGTGAATTCATTAGCCATGTCTGTTTCATAGCTACAACCATTGAACCACGATTAATGATTCAATTAAGTTTTACTAAATCATGTTTATCATGACCTAATTCAACTTCAACAAGTCATGTTGAATCCAAGGACAATTTTTGATAAATGATCTACATTCCAATAATCAAGCCTGCCTTGGTCCCATTTGATTGGGGTTAGCCACATGAATTCTTGTTTCCCATTCTTCTCTTTTATAAGCTATGTCTACTATACATCTAATTTAAATACAAATAAAGAACAGCAGTCCTTGGGTCGATAGCACAGCAGAATTTTCTAATTCTTTTACATCTTGTCTTTGCCAGGTATTATTATCGTTTAAATCAAGAATAAAACTTTTTTGTTGAATCTGAGAAGGTAATGAATCATCATATTGAAAAATGTGCACTCCAGGGCCATTGCTTAATGCAGTGGTAAAGATTGACTGCATTGCTTAGGGGTTTTAAATCACCATTGCGATTATCTGTCGTCCTCTCAACGTATAAGAATTGAATTCGAACCATTCTATTCTCCCTTTCTCTCTGCACGTACTTTCTCTAACACAATCAACTCTCTCTCTTTCCTCTTTCTCTCTCTAGAAGTTGAGGCGGAGAGACGGGTTCGCGCCGATCCATTTTATTCAGGATACGCCGTGCGGTGGCTATTGCTGCAGAGACCGTCACGTGTCTGACTAGTCGGATTCCTAAAAGTAATATGGTTGGGTTTGAACCGCAAATGTTGGGCTTCTCTGGCAACTCGAAGTTTACTGGTAACCCCAGCTATAAAATTGTCTATTTTTAAATAATTGTTTTTTTTAGAACAATTTTCTTTTTCAGAATTTTTGGTAACTATTTTCAGAGTTACACTTGACACTGAATTTAAAAGTTACCCACTTACACTCTAAAACTCCATGTATTTGTAATGAACATTTATTGAGAAATCAAAAGTTTCTACCAAAAAGAACATCGAGCCTGACGTGGGATCCCGTTATACATTTTCATTACAGCTAACTCCTTTTTCTCTCTCTTCATCTTCAATTCTCTCTCCTATTCTTTATTAATTCTTCTTATCTATCTTCTCACTCGAAATCTAATGATCAAATTTCTCTTTCATAATGAACTTTAAGGCTATGTTTGTTTGAATGTAAAATATTTTTCAAAAAATATTTTTATATTTTCTTGTGCTTGGTTGTCATAAAATATTTACAAAAAAAATATATATTAAAATGTAATAAAAATAATTTATTTATCAATTTTTGATAAGTTATTTTATACGTCCTGCTTGAAGGACTCGATCTCAACCTCGACCTAAAACTTTATCAAACACCAAACATATACACATATCACAAAGTATTCTAGGAAGACGAATATAAATATCTTCTTATCTTCACTATTTTTTAAAGATCACCCACTCTTCTCTTCTTGGCATTTATAATTTTGATTTATAAATATTTCAATAAGAAATCTTTCCAGACTTCCGGTCCTAGATGAAAAATATGTACAAAGAGTTTTTTTTTTACAGTAAATAAATATGCACAATAGTTGTCATTACAAGACACATTAATCTCTTACCGAATGATAATATATTTAGAGCAAAAAATTAAAATAAAATAAAAAAGCTGACGGAGAGAAGAGAAATGGGTGAATCTTCTCAAAGTTTTTTTGTTTGGTTTTGTGCCTTTTGTATCGGCAAAACATAAAGAAATTTTAAGTTTTTTTCATCCTTACTTTTGCAAAATCAAAAGAAGAGATAAAACCAGAATTGATTAAGATAAGATTGAATAGAGAAGAAAAACTGATAATTAGAAGAAGCAAGGAGAAAGAAACGAAGAGGTAGGAGCATATCACGCGTTTATACTTTTAGGAAATAATCAGAGGTGGCCGACTCACGTAAAGTTCGACCTCTCATTTGATTGTTTGGTTCGATTCTCATATTATTTTTCATTTGTAATCATTTCTTAATATATTTGGTTCCAACACATCACGATACTATGAATTTAAAAGTTATCCACTTACCCTCCAAAACTCCATGTATTTATAATTATTCGTTAATATATTTGGTGTCAACATGTCATGATCGAAGTTATACCATCCTTCTTAACATATGTCGCTCTTACGTTCCGAACGTGTTTTCGAAATTTCACTACTTATGATTTAATTCTGTCACTCTCACACTGCTACTCCCACTCTTGTTGTCGCTTTATGTAACTTCGGTCATGATATTAGAGTAGCATAAATGATAGATTTGGTAATTTTTTTTTTTGGTATATGGTAATTCATGTCATGATCGAAGTCAAGCCATCCTTCTCAACATGGGTCGCTTTCACGTTCTAAGTACGCTCTCGTTCAAATTTCGTTACTTATGATTTAATTCTGTTATTTCTCACATTATCTTTTTAAAATTCACTCTCATTTCTGTTTTCACTTTATGTAATTTAGTTAACCATATTAGAGTAACATAAATGACATTTTGGTCACTCAACTCACTAGGTGGTGTCAATATAATAATAATAAAAATGCTAAATATCGTAATGTTAGATTCCCAAGGAGGACGATTAAAATAGGAATATTATGGTCAGAAATCAATCTTGGGTGCATAAAAACGCCATTACCAAGTTGGCCTAGTATTTTGTTAAAAAAAAAAAAAAGTAGGCCCAGTAAAAAAAGCCCGAATATTCCATCTCCGTCGACTCCAGTCTTAACAATTACCAAACGACAAAAGATACTCTTTGTCTTCTTATAAACCCCACCCACTGAGGATCAAATCACAACAATACCTACACTGTTCATGTTCTGTTTATATTGGACTGAGACATACCACTCGTATAGAAAAAGTATTGACCAAGGACCCTTTAGGTTACTCTGTATCTCTCTAGATCTCTCTCATTTTCTCTCTCTTCTTTGAAATATTCCTCCAATGGCGTTAATCGAGTCTATTCTAAATCTCCAAGCAATGGCTTTAGGAACAGCAGTTGCTGTGGGTGGTCCAGCAATCGCTCTCGGTGGTATTTCAATATGGCTCATTAGAGGATATGTCAATGATCAGAACAAGAAACAACACTCCAATGGTCTCCTAACTCTACCTGGTAAACTACTCGATCTCATCCTTTATTTTATTTCATTTTTATTTTTTTATTTTTTTTCGTAAGTATCTTGATATATATTGAGTGTGTGCGTGTGAATATTAATTTGTATAGATTTGGTATATATTGGGTGCAGAGGTACCCGGGTGGCCGGTGATCGGAAATCTTCTGCAACTAAAAGAGAAGAAACCGCACAAGACTTTCATGAAGTGGGCTGAGATTTATGGACCAATCTATTCCATCAAAACTGGTGCCAACACTGTTGTTGTCCTCAATTCTACTGATGTTGCCAAGGAGGTACTATTCCCCTCTCTCTCTCTCTATATATATATAAAATATATATATATCGCTGCACTACCCCCCTCTCTCTCTCTCTCTCTATATATATATATATATCTCCTTTGTGTTGGAAGTTTGGAACTGGTACATCAATTTGTAGAAGAAAAACAATAAAACGATTTGGGAGTATAAGACATGTATGATCACTTTTAGCCCTCTACTCCAAATCGGATTCTTGACAAATAAAACTGCGGTTAGTAGTACAGAACAATTTTTCAAACATTCTTTAATTAAAAGGGCCTATAATATTAATTATAGAGGCGTAATTGAGTTAGTGATTTGTGAAAACGAGTAAATATAGGGTGGGTCCAATATGTTAACCAATTCAAATTAGTTAATAATTTAGTATGCCCAGTGAAGCATATACTTACACCTAACGGACATCATTTGAATGGTATAAAATATTTTACCCTCTTTGTCTCGTATTAATAGTTTATTTTTTTTATCAAATTGTCTCAAATTAAATGTTTACTTTAAAAAGTCAAACAAGATAAATACCATCGTTTTATAATTACTTTTTTAATTTTTTAAAATTCTTACAACTTAATTTTATATATATATATATATAAAATTTGAACGATAACTTAATAATTTAAAATAAGAACCATACATTAATTACATGTCATCTTAAATAATTATAAAATCAAACATGGATAACTAATTGGGTCGGAGGGAGCAGATGGACATTAAATTTCAAAAGCCAACCCATTAAGAGTGTATCTGATTCTCTCTCACTTTATGAATATATCCAACACATTGGACCTTTTAATTGGTTAATTTACTTCTCCAGTGTCAATCACAGTGCTCTGGACTTCACTACAATGAGGACTGATTCGTCATTTCACAGAAAATAAAACTAGGAAAGGGTCAGTGGCTTCATTTGGTATGAATTATGAGTTTTTGACACGCGTGACAATGACATGCCACGTTGTTGACATTTGTTTATGTTTATCCTTTTTCATCTGTCGTTACTCCTGCCACTACCAGTGCTTTTGGTAAGCAGGGTGAGAAGGTAATGAATACTCCTATTAACTTGGAAACAGAATAAAAGGAAATATATATTAAATCACGTGCCTAAAAAAGGCTAAAACAAAAATTTCAGAAATAGTTTTCATATAACTAAATATAGAATCTTCTTCAATTGCTTTTCTAACTCTGTTTTCGGATATTGTTTCTTAAAATACTATACAGAAATTAAGTGAGTCCTGATTGGATTCTATCCCATGATATTTTGTGGTGTGGTCCACATCCACACTCAATAAATTTCCATAAGAAAATTGATCCCATATCTGAGAATCATCCAAAAGTCCGGGTAGGTTGATTTTTAGTTACCAAAAATAAATAAATAAATAATAGTAAGTAATAATAATAATGTAATTCTTTTATCTTTACATTTCATTCAATTCCATGGGAGGATATCAGAAACAATACCAAAGGTTAAAATATTCCTCATCTTGTTCACTTTTATGCTTGTAGTTATGTTACCACACCAATGCTAGTAAATACTAGCAAATTTTAAATTATTTTGGAATTTATTTTTCCTTTTTAAAGATTCTTCTTGAGGAGTTCATTTTTAAGATCATCTCTAAAAAACTTTCTGCTACTTATAATTTGGTAGAACAACATTACATCCTTCTGTTGTATGCTTGTGCATTATTTGTCTGCTACCTTCAAACTTAAACTAGTTATCATCTGTGTGGAGACAACTACCTTGAGAATGGATTTTTTTTTTTTTTTTTTTTTCTTCATATGATTTATATATTCTCATTATATATAATGCAAAGAAAACAAAGCAGCATGGTTGCAACTCAGAATGTTTGTGTTTGTTCTCAGGCCATGGTGACCAGATTTTCATCCATATCAACAAGAAAGTTATCAAAAGCATTGAGGATCCTTACTTTCGATAAATGCATGGTTGCAACAAGTGATTATGACGAGTTCCATAAAACTGTAAAACGCCATATACTCACAAATATTTTGGGACCAAATGCTCAGGTTAATTTGTGCTGCTAAATTCTCCATTTATGTGCTTGTTACTCTGTTTTTTTTTTTTTTTTTTTCTTTTTTTATATTTTATTTTATTGTTTATAGATTGTATTTTTACATATGTTTCTGATGAATATATCAGAAGCGACACCGTGGTCACAGAGACATTTTGATTGAAAATATTACACAACACTTGCACGCTCATGTTAAGAATTGTCCCGTTGAAGCTGTGAAACTCAGGGACATCTTCGAGTCTGAACTCTTTGGATTAGCATTGAAAGAAGTGAGTCTTCATCATTATATATGAAGTCATCAAGCTTTTAAACTATGGTATCAACGAAAATCAATAATATTGAGAAAAATGAATGGCATTTGCAGGCTTTGGGAAAGGATGTGGAATCCATTTATGTGGAGGAGCTTGGAATCACTTTCTCGAGAGAGGATATCTTCAAGGTTTTAGTGATTGAGCCAATGGAGGGTGCTATTGACGTGGACTGGAGAGATTTTTTCCCTTTTTTAAGTTGGATTCCAAATAAAGGATTTGAAAGAAAAATCCAACAAATGGATTTACACAGGCAGGCAGTGATGAAGGCTCTGATGAGCGAGCAGAGACAACGAATTGCTTCGGGAGAGGTATACATGTCTTAACTCTATGTTACTTATGTTTCTAAGTCTGTCATATTGCTTAGTAGTTAATATGACTTGGTTGGGACTTAAAGCAGGAAATGAACTGTTATCTGGATTACTTGTTAAATGAAGCAAAAACACTATCAGAGAAACAAATAGGCATGTTACTTTGGGAGGTCATTATTGAAACATCGGACACTACTTTGGTCACCACAGAATGGGCTATGTATGAACTCGCTAAGGATCCAATGCGACAGGTTGTTTCAATCACTAAATTACCATCAATTATGATATATTACTACTCCCCTCCTCTGTTATCAATGCATCATTTCCATTTTACATCATTTGATCTCAATCTAAATTCCAATAGGATCGTCTTTATCAAGAAATCAGAGATGTTTGTGGGTCAAACAAGATTAAAGAAGAAAATTTGTGTCAGCTCCCATACTTGTTTGCTGTTTTTCATGAAACTTTGCGAAAGTACAGTCCTGCTCCAGTAATTCCTCTTCGATATGTGCATGAAGATACCCAACTAGGAGGATATTATATTCCTGCTGGAACTGAGGTTGACTACTCTTCTTCTAAAGTACTCTTGCACTTTTTATTGGTTTTGCCTGAATTTCTAACTTTGAGCTTCATTCTTAGATTGCTATAAACATTTATGGATGTAACATGGATAAGAAACTTTGGGAGAATCCTGAAGAGTGGAACCCAGAGAGATTTATCGACGGGAAGTATGATCCGATGGACTTGCACAAGACGATGGCATTTGGGGGCGGAAAGAGGGTATGTGCAGGTTCTCTTCAAGCAATGTTAATTTCCTGCACGGCAATTGCTAGACTTGTACAAGAATTCGAATGGAGACTGAAGGAAGGGGAGGAGGAAAATGTTGATACCCATGGACTCACCACTCGGAAGCTCCATCCAATGCAAGCAATCTTAAAGCGAAGAAATTGAAGAGGAAATTCCAAACATCCTAAGCAATTTCCTTCCGTAGTGACTGAAGCTTCTTCTGGCCGTCCTTTTTCACCACAACTTTTTTCATTATGGTCCATACGAACTTTCCAAAGCATTCTGAACATGTGTCCACCATTTATCTCATTTAGAGAGTGCATTATTATAGAAAGTTGCTGAATTCCATGTTGCTCTCTTTGTAAACTTCTGTATCCTATATTATATAATTCTCTAGTTTGCAGAGGTTTTAAATTTGTGATGAATTTCAAATTAACACTAGCTAGTTGTTTGTGTTAGGGATATCAACTCCCTCCAAGTAGCTCTTGGCCGATTGTTATTGAGAATTAAATTCCGCTTTCATCATAGGCAATGAAAGCACATCATCACATTACATCACACAAGTATATATAGATATAGCAATCAAACATATCCACGCATTACATAATATTTTACATGGTTCACCCAATTCTAAGCTTATTGTTACGCTCCGAAACCAAGAGGCTACGCCACGTAGGCGCCACGCAAACGCCCAGCAGACGATGACATGGAGCTTGCATGGACCGGAGCTTTCTAGACTTCTCTACACAAGTATGGAACTTTTCGGAATTCTCTAGACTAGTGTGGAATTGTCTAGCCTTTTCTAGACTTGTCTAGAGTTGTATAGAATTCTCTAGACTTGTCTTGTACATTGTAGATAGTTTTAGAATTGTGTAGATATATCTTTGGAGGATTCTAAACACTTATTCTAGGCCACACATTTGTACACATCTAGAGTGTTCTTGTAAGGCCAAAGGCCTATAAATAGAAGGTGGGAGTTCATTTGCTCTTCACCAAGCAACCTAAGTTGTAATCTCCTCTTAAGGAATACAAGTGTTCATACATTTCCAAACTCTTTTGCTCACTTGCCTAATCTCTTTCTACACACCCAAGTAAGCAAAGCACTTGTCTAGCCTTAGTATTCACTAAGCTAGCACACTCGGGTAGGCTGACTTAGCACTTCAAGGGGGCTTAAAAGTGGCCGCACATGAGCTTGGAAAGGTCCAAGTCCATGACAGTTGGTATCAGAGCTAAGGTCGTGAGGCGTCACACCTTGTGTAGAGGAAGTTATGGCGGAGCAATCGGATTTGAGTAACACCCAAGAGGAGGAGCTACGTGGAAGGGATGCAAATCTCCCTCTAGTCGGAGTGAGGACAAGGGCTAGGTCGAAGGACATCATGGCGGGCTTAGAGGCACGTGTGGCAAACATGGAGGGGTCCATAGCCAACGTGTTGAAGCAGCTTGAGGATGCTCACCAGCGCATGGATGGGCTGGAGTCGGAGGATGCTGAGGTCCAGAATGCTGTCAAAGGGTCACTCAATGCCCTAAGTGGTGACTTTTGGCAGGAGCTCCAAGCACTTCGAGAACTTATGTTGGGCGAGTTTGCCACCCTACGTGGCTATATTGATCAGGAGCTTGGCACTTTCCGCGAGCAAATGGAGGAAATGCGAGTGGATTGGGTATTGTGCAAACGGGCGGTGGCGTCCGGCACAACTATTACGGGGGTAGTAGCACCCCGGGTTGATATTCCCAAGCCTAAATGCTATGGTGGGAACCGGGTAACGAGGGAGTTGGAGAACTTCCTATTCAGCAAGGAGAAATACTTTGAGGCTACGGGCATGACAGATGAGACCATCAAGATACGCACGGCGACCCTCTACCTCACCGACCATGCCATGCTATGGTGGAGGAAAAAGTATGGTGACATGGGCAAAGGTACGGTCTCTATTGATACTTGGGCTGATTTCATAAGGGAAATTAAGAAGCATTTCTATCCTGAGAATGCCGAGGATGAAGCCAGGGGTAGGCTCCGAAGGCTAAAACAGGTTGGGTCGATCACTATGTGAAGGAATTCACTAACTTGACTCTTGAGATCCCGGATCTATCCGACAAGGACTCTCTTTTCTTCTTCACGGATGGTTTGCAGTTGTGGGCCAAGACGGAGTTGAGGCGGCGCAACGTGCAAGACCTTGCCATGGCTATTGCAGAAGCGGAGTCCTTTATTGATTTCAGCTCCAAGAAGGAACCATCATCTAAGCCAAAAGACAAAGACAAGGACAAGGGGAGGTATGCCGGCAAAGGTGGGGGAGACAAGGGCGCTGCACCCTACAAGGATTGGGCCCGTAAGCCAGGTGGTGGCCATGGTGGCAAAAAGGAAAGGGAGAAAAGGAAAAAGTACCCAAGCCTAAGGGCTCATGCTTCATATGTGACGGGCCACATTGGGTGAGAGATTGCCCTAAGAGGAAGACCCTCAATGCCATGACAAACCACTATGAGGAGAAACAACAGCAACAGGAGGCGTAGATGGGTTCACTACAAATCCTTAATGCCATTAAGGCTAAAACTGAAGTCCCTAAGGCGGCGGCTAAGGGGCTAATGTGCGTGGAGGCGAGCATTAATGGGACACCCACACGTGCTTTGGTGGACACGGGTGCGTCCCACAACTTTATGAGTATTGAAGATGCTAAGAGGTTGGGCCTCAAGTATAGCAAAGAAGGGGGCTCCATGAAGGCAGTTAACTCGGAGGCAAAGGCTATACATGGCATGGCACATGGCGTCCAAGCATGCATCGGCAAGTGGGGTGGCCACATAGATCTATCGGTGGTACCCATGGACGACTTCAAACTAGTCCTTGGGTTGGAGTTCTTAGACAAGGTGAGAGCTTTCCCCATTCCTTTTGCTAACACTATGTGTATTATGGAAGGCAACACAGCATGCATAGTGCCAGTAGAGCGAGGCGCCAAGTTGGAAGCCCAAGCCTTGTCAGCTATACAGTTCAAGAAGGGCTTCAGGAAGGGGGAGACTAGCTATCTTGCTACGTTGATGGAGACGCTCGATGATGAGCTAGTCCCTTCCCCACAAGAAGATGTGCCTAAGGAGATACGAGCCGTGCTAGACGAGTACACGGACGTGATGCCTAAAGAGCTGCCCAAGAAGTTTCCACTTAGGAGGGAGGTGGATCATACGATTGAGCTGGAACCGGATTCTAAACCCCTTGCTTTGGTGCCCTACCGGATGGCACCCCCAGAGTTGGAGGAGTTGCGGAGGCAACTCAAGGAGCTATTAGATGCGGGCTACATTCGACCCTCGAAGGCCCTATATGGCGCACCCGTGTTGTTCCAAAGGAAGAAGGGCGGGTCCTTACGCATGTGCATCGACTACCGGGCGCTTAACAAGGTGACTATAAAAAATAAGTACCCCATTCCTCTCATTGCCGATCTTTTTGATCAGCTTGGTGGAGCACGCTACTTAACTAAGCTAAACTTACGCTCGGGGTACTACCAGGTGCGGATAGCGGACGGGATGAGCCTAAGACTACATGTGTGACGAGGTATGGCTTTTATGAGTTTTTTGTTATGCTATTTGGCCTTACCAATGCACCTGCTACTTTCTATACTTTGACGAACAAGCTCTTCCATCCCTACTTAGATTGCTTTGTAGTGGTTTACTTGGATGATATTGTTGTGTATAGCACCACTTTAGAAGAGCACGTGCAACACTTGAGGGTGGTCTTCCAAGTCCTACGGGAGAACGACCTATATGTGAAGATAGAGAAATGCTCCTTTGCCCAAGAGGAGGTGTTGTTCCTAGGGCATAAGATATGGGATGGCAAACTGATGATGGATGAGGCAAAGGTAAGGGGCATTCAAGAGTGGGAGCCGCCCACTAAGGTGACAGAGCTACGTTCATTTCTTGGGCTTGTCAATTACTACCGCCGCTTTATTAAGGGTTACTCGGCGAGAGCAGCCCCATTGATAAACCTTTTTAAGAAGGCGTGTGGTTAGAGTTGGACAGAGTCATACCAGGGGGCATTTGATGATTTAAAGAGGGCAGTTACAGAGGAGCCGGTACTTAGCTTTGATCGGTTGGTCAATTAACATCAACCTTCGCAATAGCACGAATCATTGTAAAATAGGGCTATTGGTCGGGTAAGTCGAACCACAGGGACTACGCTAGTCTAATACAACCTAAATGTCTAGAATCATTCTTAGAATGATGAAGGGTGTATAGAGGTTTTGTTGGATGTCACTTAAGCTAGGAAATTAAAAGTGCATAAAACAGTAAATTGCAAGAATTCAAGGGAGTGAGTACAAGTAAAGAAGGCTAGGGAAATGAATCCACCTCCATCCCTCTACACATGCTAGGTTAAGATTAATTTAAGGGGAAAACAACATATATGATAGTCATGATACATAACAATACTAGGTTGCTATAATATCCTTAAGAAGTTCATTTAATTAGAAAGGCAAGAATAAACCATCAAAGGTTCACATGATCAACTACCTAAACTAAAATGTAGCTTAGAACATGCTTACTAAGCCAAGGATTATCAAGCCCTAATTTAAATGGTGAATGCACATAAAGCTAAGAATCAAGTATAGCCCATCAAAGGGAAACCCTAAGCCATGAACTATCTAGGTTCTCCAACTCCATGCCATTAAAACCATTCCATGATCTAACTTCCATTGTCACCATGGAAGTGCAAGCAATATGATTAAGAAAGGCAACCATCCAAGACAAGATGAATAACTCACAATAATCATTTAAAACATTCAACATTCATTACAACAAAAATGAGGCTCTTGACCATGGAAAGACTATCAAAAATACATTGTAATCCCCAAAAATAAACTATACTAACACATGCTTACAAGGGAGGGGTTTCATCACCTCCCTAGATGAGGTTTAGTTACCCATTGGTGAGCTAGAAGAAGGAAGAAGCATCATCCTCATCTCCATTTTCGAGCTCCTACTGTAGCACTCAAGAACACCCTTCTCCTTGCTCTCTTCTCTCTCCTTTCTCTTGCTCAAGATAAAGCTTCATGATATATGTGGCCTTTGGGTAGCCTTTTATGCTCCAACCATACCCTCTCTCCTCCAAGGAACACCTCCAACCACTTCATAAAGAGGGAAGATGGCATTGAGGAAACCAATGTGCAAGTGGGCTGAAATGAGCCATTTCCGAAGGGCATTCTGCCTGATTTTCGAGCGCATGCTTGGTGACTTCGAGCACTCTAACTTAGTGCAATGTGCAACATGCTCCTCTTGCTCAGTGCTGACCTATTTTGGGAAAACTGCTATAACTTTGTGCCCCGAACTCCGAATGACGATCTGTTTGAAGGTTTGGAGAGCTGATTCAGTGCTTTAAAAACTTCATGTTTTGATGAAGACCCAAATCTCAAGTCTGGTTGGTCGAAAATGGGGAGAAAGGCAGTACATCAGTGCT